TAGAATGATGGGCGAATGGGTGGGTGGGTGGATGAGTAAGTTGCACGGCAAAATGGCTGCTGAGTGCAAAGACAGAAGCTTGGTTTCATCGCTGTTCTTGTGGGTTACCTTCATTCCATGAGGGGTCTGTTCACAAATATTGATGGGGAAGGAGAGGAGACAAACAGTATCATTCGGTCCTCTCATGGGGCAGCTCCTCCCTGTCTTCACAGAGAACGCGATGGGAGTGTAGAGGAGGAGTCTGAGCTGTTACCTATGGTAAGTGTCCTTTCTAGGGCTCAACTGTCCCTTCTTTAAAATAAGAGACTCAATGTAGACAGCTTTTCAAATGCAAAAGACCCAGCTTTGGCGTCATCTTTAAACATGCTAAAGGGGCCTTGTTCCTGAATGTGGGGATACTTTATCCTAGTCTACAAAAAAAAAAAAAATCAATTGGTGTCTAATACCTATTTAAATCAGAATACTTATGTTGTACTTTATGTTAGTGGCTTAGTGGTGAAGAATTGTACTGCCAACCCAAAGGTACATGGTTCAAATCCACCAGCTGCTCCACGGGAGAAAGATGGGCAATTTCCTCTCATGCTATTTACTGCCCGTGAAAACCACCTGGAGGGTCAACTATAGGTAGTTTCTGGCAATGTATTCTTAAAAATTTTATATATAATTGTATGTGTATATATATATATATACACACACACACACACACACACTCCACTTACAGATGAGTTGGCAAGTTTATAACATTCAGCATCCTTGCTAAGGGCCTTTTGAGCTCTAGGATCCCTCTCTCTCACACCTTCCAAATTAGGAAAATTTCCTGCTCCAGCTCTGTGATGTGCTAGGGCCTTAGGGACAAGGCCAGCCCGCTTAGCTGTTACTAAGGATGACCCGGACACTTGTGCACAATTGATTGGAACTGAAACCACTGAAGCTGGCTTCTGGTAACCATGTCCCTTCCATTTCTTTAAACAGATCTCCTAGCTCTGAGCAAAGGCAGCACACAGACGTGAAACAACTCCAGACGTCACTTCTCCAGGCTTCAGTCACCGAGGAACATCATGCACCTCAGATTAGGATCATCGCAGACTAGTGAAGGCTTGTCACTCCCAGCACTGCCCAGGGCCCACGAGAGCCAGTGTGCGGCCCTCCAGGGAATCTAGCTTAGCTGGGAAGACAAGCAGAAATGCTGCAGATGCAATTAGCATGAACCTTCATTCTTGCACGAGAGGAAAGTGGTTATGACACTTAAAAATGGGAATATTATTATTAGTTTTCTGCAGCCCAGCCAAGCAGGAAGGTGGGGAAATCTGAAGGGTTTACAGATGCAAGTATCGTTGCGTACCAAGGAATGGCCTCTACCCAGATTACAGGAGCTTCAGTTTACTGTCCATAGGAATCACCGATGCATGGCTAAAATGCAACTTCTGATTCCGTAGGGCTGACAGCGACTCTTTCCCAGGCTTCCTTAGATGCTGATGTGGCTGGAGCAAAGGTAAGTGTGGGGAGGGAAGGGACAAGGGATAGGATGGAGGAGGCAGCAGGAGCAGTTATGAGTCAAGGATGCACCTGTCTGAGGATAGGGTTAACCAAACAGGAGCTGAAGTGTTAACAGGTGCTGCTGAGCTCAGCCCCGCTGAGCCAGTGCAAAAGAAGCTGTGCCATCTCTCCCACCCACCCTCACAATGACTGTGAGCACTTCTGGTCCCTACTGTCTATTCCTGATAGTACCTACAATGTCTATTTGAGTTTGGTCTCCCCTTTTCCCTGTGACGCTGTGTCAAATGTGTTAATGGTTGGTTACCAATGGTTGATAAGTGTTGGGTGAAACTCCCCAATTAAAACAAGCTTGGAAGGAGCGGCATCCACTTCCGTAACAGCTTGCCTCCGGAAACCCTATGAATCTGGAGAAAGGATGAGACACACCCAAGTGTTGAGGACTCTCCTTCATAGGGTCGCTATGTGTCGCCTGCGACTCAGCACTTAACTCCTCCTCCCCTCTTCAGGAACAGACACATCCTTGGCTTTCTCTATCAGCAGGAGAGCCTGGGTGCCACAGGTCAATAAGCAGTATGGAAGACAGCTCTACTCTGCAGACATGGAGTCTCCATGAGCCTGGGACTGTAACAGGCTTGGGATTTGTTCCCATTCATCCCTACCCCCTCACTGGACAGGACTAGGAATATGTATTCACTAACTGACAACTTCTCTTTCACCCAACAGGGACCAGCAAGTCCCAACTGCAACCCTACCTTGGCACCAAGATGGGAAGTCTCCAGGCAAGTCCTGAGCCCACACACAACACTGTCCCGGGCTGCCACCTGGGCCCCATTCCTCCGCTGCAACACGCAGACATGAGAAACGAGTGGAGTGTGGTCCAAACGGGTGGTATTTTCCTCAAGGACGTGCAGCCAAGTAAGACAGAACGATAGTTTCAGCACAGAGCTCTGTCCATCCGCTGGAAGAATCCTCTTAGCCCAAGACGACCTGTCTAGCAAGCAGCACAACCCCTGAACTGAACTTGGGAGTCCAGCTTTCTTCTGAGGTGGTCATCCCTAGTTTTCTCTTTATAAAGATCCCCTTTGTTGTATGAGCAAGTGGTTGCTTATGCAGATTTCTGTAGACTTATCAGAGTTGGAAACTGTGTAATTCCCATTTGACCAGGATGTGGAGAACCTGGGAAGGACCTTGGCACATGGCTCAGAACTCTCCCCTTGGGTCAGCCCTAGCTCTTCCTCCCGGGGACCCTTGACTCCGGTCTCCTGTCCTGCTTCTTGTGGTGCAAATGCAGCCTTCAGAATCCCCTAGATGATTTCTGTAATCTAAAGGTGAAGAATTTCCCGCAACACTGAAACTTAAATTTTAAAAATAACAGAGCAGGCTTGCAGGGTCCAGATGGATGGTTCATAGTAGACAACTTTGACGTTTCATGTGACATTTCATTTCTTTCCAAAACGTTTTGTGTTAATACACTTTGGGGTTCACCTGCAGCACTCTGCTCAGGGAACTGTCCTGCCATCTGTCCAGAGGAAGTCCCAGCTCCCTGTCCCCACAGTGCTTATACACTAGGGTGACCGTATGTGCTTGGAGTTGTCCACAGTCCTCCTCTGTTCAATGCCTAGAAGAACCAGCCCGGTGGGTGGGGTCAGGGCTGGGTAGTGAAAGCTCAGGAAATAATCTGCTAGGGTGACTCTGGCTCTCTCTTATGTGGGAACCACCTGGGGACAAACAGACAGATTCTTTCCTGGGGGAGAACTGACAACTGGGGAGAGAGGCAATTAAAAGACAACAATCAGGCCAACCTTTAAATAGTAACTTTTAAAAATATAAAAACAGCTCATTACAATGACTTTCATATTTTTTTTCTTCAGGAATTCACTTTCTTTTACCCTCGCCCTCCCTTGTGGCAAGAGCCTTAACAAGAGGCGGAAGGCGAACATCTGAGACCTAGAGAGAAGAGATAGACAGACAGACAGATCGTGGACAACCCACCAGCCTGAGGCCTGGAGCACACACTGGTCTCCACACTAGGACTTCCTGGGGGGTGGGGGCGCTCAGCTGGGAGCAACATTACTGAAGACAGACATGTTTACTGAAGCACCCCCCCTTCTTTCTCACCAGGCAGAATCACACATTATAAAATAATCCATAAAAATGCAGTATAAAAATTATCTTCCATATGGTACATCCACAGAGAGCCCATCACCAGGGCCCACAACGGCCTTTAACTTTTCTTTGAACAAGGGGGGGAAAAAAGGACCAAAACAAATACACAAAAGGAAATCCTCCCCCCATCAAAAAATAACAATCCTAACACCTTAGAACATTTTGGTACCAAAAAGAGGTACCTGTGGGAGACAAAATTCGAACCGAAGCTTGCTTGGGCCTCTACGAGGCGAAAGTGACAAGAAATCACCATAGTATGAAGAAATCATCCTCACAGCCCACATCTTACCCCCTCCTGGTTATGGGGAGAAATTCTTTCAGACTTGCAACTCTGCTGGGGGGAACAGACCTTCCTCCTCTCTAGCAGAGAGAGGAAGGGGTCCCAGGCAGGAAAAGGGGAGAAGACATTTTATAAAAGGACATCATCTCTAATTTTTATTCAAATTTAAAAAAAAAAAAAAAGCACCCACATCAGTTGCTATTTTTTTTTCCTCTGGTAGCTCCCTGAGCTGAACTGTTACACTCTCCCCTCTAATGTCTTGTCCTTTTTTAGGTTGTGTCCGGAGACTGCAGAGGGTGGGAGAGGGGTTTCTTAGAACTTACGTTTCTCTTCACAATAACCAAGTGTACACCAAAAAGAGACAGAACAAGGTTGGGGGGAGGGAGAGAAAGTGAGTAAGAGACAAACACAGATAATAAGGGAGACAGAGAGCAGACAAGAGGCAGAGCACATGAGACCTCCGGAGGCGGGGGGGGGGGGGGGGGGGTGTGAGGGAATCTGGTGAGGGTACACCCTGGCTGGCACTTGTCTCAAGCACTGTCCATCAGTCTGTCCATCTGGCCACTCAATGCTGACTTGGTAGACAATCCCCAAACCCACACAGAGACATGTTCATTTCGGGGAGTGTCCAAAGGTCATTCTCATTACCAGCTGCAAGCTCTCTGGCCCCCTGAATTTCCCCCTTTTCCATCTTCTCCTAGATTTGCCCCCTCTCTATCTCCCCTTCCCAGACCGTTAATTCTTATTTAAAAAAAAAAAAAAAGGCCACCACCACCACAAGTGGATTACAAATACAGCAGGCGAGATACACGGCGAGGGGGTCCCACGGGGAGGGGCTCGTCCCCCACTGACCAGTCCGAGATAGGAGTCTGTTATTTACATTTTTCACAGATCATGTGCACTGCACAGCTGGGGTGGGGGAAAGGCAATTTCCCTGTCCCCTCATCCCAAGAACAAAAATGTGGTCCAGACCAGTGTCCCCAACCCCAGGCAGGGGGACTGGCCAAAAGAGGAGAGGAGAGAGAAAGAACCATGGGGGTGTTCTGTGGGGAGCTGGAACCTCCAAGGAATTCTATTTGTAACATTTGCCAGGGCTGTTAGGGGAGGAGGAAGGGGCGATCCACAAAGTCCATGAGCCACGTCAGTCCCCGCCAAGGAGCCAGGACCACGACGTGCACCCTTGCAGCCCACTGGGGAGCAGCCTGGCCTGGAATACGTGGCGGCCGCAGGCGCCCGTCCTCTGCGCCCTCTGGGGCCGCCGTCCGCGATCTCGCTGTCAGAGCCGAGTCTCTTCCTCCCACGGTCTGACAGCCCTGTTGGAGTCCTTGTTTAGTAGATGACCTCATAAACTGTGGCCTTCTTGTCACCAGAGCCTGTTACAATGTATTTGTCATCCGCTGAAATGTCACAACTCAAGACAGATGAGGATTCTTTAGACTGGAGAAGGAAGATGAGGAGGGGATGTGGGGAGGAAAGAGAAAAAGAGACAGGAGTTTATTTTCTCAGGACTCAATGCTATTCGTTTCAATACCATCTGAACAGAAGCACTCTGGTCTGGTGGCCAGTGGGTAGGGAGGTGCTGTCACCCCAAGGTTATGTGGTTCGAATCCTCAAGCTGCTCTGAGGGAGAAAGATGGGCTATCTCCTTTCATACCCACAACCACAGCTTCTAAATCCCCACTGGAGGGTGAACTGAGTCGGTTCCAACTCAATGGCAATGGTTTGAGGGGCGTTTTTACCCCTCCAGGGCTACCGCAGTTAAGCATGGACCCAACATGGAAGAGACAAGGCTGGGAGCCTGTCAAGCTCGGCCCGGAGAAGCCAGAGATCCCCTCCCATCTAGTGGCTTTTTCCATAAGGAAAAACTCATTACTAGGGTTTAACATATGCAGGGAAACAGCACACTTTGGCCCTAGCAGCTCTTCTGGGTTTAAAAATAAGAAGCGTGTCTATAAGAGAGGCCAACAGGCTGCTGGCATCACAGAACGCTGTGTGCTGACTTTTGAAAATGGTGTTTAGTAGTAGTTGTTATGTGCTGATTTTTACCAGGTTTTCTTCCTAGTACATCTTAGTTTGGAAGCTCCTCTGTTATCTCTTCTACTTCGTGACAACCAGTCCTCCACTAACAGATGGAAGGTGGCTGCACTTGGGGTGTGTGTGTGTGTGTGTGTGTGTATGTGAAGGACCTTGAACTTGGGTCTCCCAAATGGAAGGACATACTTCTACCATGGAACCACCATTCCCCTCATCTCCTGAGAGAGCCCATGCTTAAAGGCTCTCATCATCAAGAGGTCAGAGCCAATAGCAGCAGAGAGAGACTGTGTGTGTGAGACTCAGCACACTGGGTCTCTGTCCGTCTCCATCCCCCCCCCCCCGCAGGTCTGACCCTGGTTCCTGAAGCCTTGTTAGCTGCTACGCCAACCCTGGCACCTTGCCCACTGGTGGACATACCTGGAATATGCTGGCTCCGTAAGGCGTCCTCCAGGCGTTCAGGAGGTTATCTTTCCCCGTGCTCACGAACCACTTGCCTGCAGGTGAAGGTGAAAGGATCATCAGCATGTGGCCATTGAGCAAGCTGTGCCCCTCCCTGCCCACCGCAGTGGCCCAGACAAGGCTGGCTGCCATGGAAACACCATGCGAACTGCTAACAAGTGCTTAGGTATCTCTGCTCGTGAGAGGCATTTTTTGCAAGACACACACACAGCCAGTCAGAGAAGGCAGGAAGGCAAGTAGGAACTGGGATTGGGACTGGGAATATTCAGCTCAACAATTATACTCACAAAAAGAGAGTGAGAACACATGACCTAAATTTTACTATGAAGAGGCATCAGAAAATGCTAGAAACAGCAAAGCCCCGACTGTCCAGACAGTCAGCTCAAGAAAGCTGTTAGCAGGTATCTTTTCTGTTGTGCAGGCACTCAGTCAGGGCTGTCCCTGTGCTGAGTCAATACTGCTGCCCTCAAATCCACAACGAGATGGGTTTTTTGGAGGAGGTAAGATTTTTCCAGGGTGGCACAGGGAGCTGTGAAGAATAACGGCCTGTGATTCTTAATCCCTCAGAAGCACAGCCTGCCCATGCTTCTTTGAGGAGCTATTCCTTAGCCCCAGGCCAGGCTTCAGGGATGGCTTCTGGCTTTGGTGTCCTGTGGCAGCATCTCCATCTGGGAGGCAAGGTCAGGGGGATGGGGGACAAGATCTTCAAGGGATGGCAAAGGGGCAGGATGGGGAAAGGTGTGGCTGAGATCCCCACGGGACAGCAGAGAGGCACTGGCCTGGGAGTGTCTGGTTTGTTCAGTTAGCTCCGGGGCTCTTGGGGAGGGAGACCAGCCACCGGGAATGCCTCTCCTCCGAGACTCACCGCAGTAGGCAAACTTGAGAGAGAGCACACAGCTCTCATGTAGGTGCAGCTGGTACTTGTCAGGCTTCGTGTGGTGCAGCACCTCCACGTTGCTGCTCTCCATGCCCACGGCCAGCCACTCCCCAGTAGGGCAGTACCCCAGAGAGAAGATCTGCAGGAGGTCAGGGGGGTGGGGGTGGCAGTCAGCACCCGCTGACCTCCAGAGTCAGCGTCCCTTCCCATCCCGCTTCCCAAGCATGTGCAAAACGAGGCCTCCCCGAGCCCACTAACCCAGGGCCACAGAGTTCCGTTCTCCGTTCCCACGCTACAGATGAAGCTGAGGCGTACAGAAAACCAGCTACAGTCAAACTGGGAGTTGACAGACGAGGCACAGACATTTCTCATTCAGAGCTGGCCTGCCTGACTTTTGCATTTACTCTTTTAAAAAGGCAGGGAAATACCTAAATATTAAACATCTAAGTATTTGATGTCAAAATGAGCCATAAAGAAACACCAAACTCACTGACAGTCAATTCTGGCTCACAGCAACAGAGCAGAAATGCCCCTTAGAGGTTTCAAGGCTGTGCTCGTTACAGGAAACAAGACTGCCATGGAGCTCGAACTGCTCACCTTTTGGTTGGCAGCAACGTACTTTAACCACTGTGCCACCCAGTAGTTAGGGATTATGCCTGAATCTGTGGAGTTCTTTTTATGAGCTAAGTTTATGCCCAAGACTCTGCAAGGATTATTTCAAGTGCTCACACCAGGCAGCTTCTATCACGTCCACCCCACAAGTGAGAAATCAGAGGCCAGATAATTCCACGCCAGTGGGACTAAAATAGAATCCAAGCAGCAGAGTCAGGTGTCTCTGATGGCACATAATTTCACTGCTGCTTCCTCCAGGAAGCCTTCCCAGATGGCTGAAGTTGGCCTCACACGCATTTATAACATCCTGAGACCTGGAAGTGAAAGGGAGAGGGCTGGTGGGTGAGGCAGGTTAAGTCTGGCCTCGCACCTGAGAGGTGAAGTCATGCTGCTGCAGCTGCCGGCCCTCCCGCAGGTCCCAGGAACGGACGGTGTTGTCCAATCCCCCTGTCCACAGCTTGGTGCCATCGTGGGAGATGTCTATGCAGCTGGCTCCATCCGTGTGGCCCTGGAACTGCCTGTGAGGGTTAAACAGAAAGGGGTGGTGAGCCTGGCAAACTACTGCTTGCTAAGATAGCAGTAGTCCCAGGAAACCAGCCTGCTTGGCTTCTGAACAGAAAGGGAAACTGAGGTTCAGAGAGGACACCGCACCTCCCACAAGAGTCGCCAGTGAGCTTGCACCAGAGCTAGATCTCGTCTCACTACACTCAGCCAAGCTCCTGAGGCAAAGCCCCTCCGGGGTTTTGGCATTGCTTACACACTGGAGGCCCCTGATCATGCTCTCAGAAGCTGATCCAAAAAGGGCAACTCGTTGACTTTAGGACCTAGCTCCTTAATAGACATCAGTTTTTCCATCTGCCCTGTTACCTCATCCTTGCATCCTGCAAGAACTATACGGTTCTATGAACACACATACTGACTGTCAAAAACCACATCAGAGGCGTGCTCTGTACAAGGTATGCTGCCCACCTTCACCCTGCTTCCCCAACGCAGGCACTACATTCTCCCCACTTTATTGAACACAGAGCTAAGAACTGAAGAAGTGACTCATATAAGGTCACAATTCACCAACTGTGTTGTCTTCATTACTGTGCACTGCAACCTTCCAGCTTCACTCCAGCTCCATCTTTTTCCCCCAAAGCCTCCTCCAAGCTCTGGGGTCTAAGGAGCCCTTTCTCTGCCCTCATGGAGCACCTGGCCCATAGCTACCCCTCGAGTAGGCTAGCTGAGCTGTCTTCTCTACTGGAAACCTCTTTATTCACATTCCTCGACCTTCACAGTGCCAGGGAGGGCTGGCATAGGTCAAGAAGAAAGTGCCCACACACTCCCACCTGTCGGCCTCACCTGACCAGGGTCTGGTTATGCAGGTCCCAGACGGCAATGTTCCCGTCACTGCAGCAGGAGAAGCAGACTTTGGCGTCGGGGCTGATGGCCAGGGCGTAGCAGGCGGGAGCGGAGGACGTGAGCTCAGCCTTGATGCGGGGCGTGGGTGAGGCCAGGTCCCAGATGGTGAGTGTGCTTGCCTCGCCGCCTACGATGAGCGTGCGCCCGTCAGGGAGCAGCTTACAGGATCTGATGTAGTTGTCCCTGTTCTGGAAGGAAAAGGGGCAGTGGTGAGTGCTGCCCACTGCCCTCGTGGAGATGCAGGGCATCCTCGCTGCCCGTGCTCTAGGCCTTTCCACGCCTCACTCTCACTCTTTCATCTTTTATGTATCTCTTCACAAAGCCCAAGAAGTTACTATCATCCCATCTACAGATGTCAAAGCTGGGGCTCAGAGAGTTTAGTGGGTGTGCCCAGAGCTGCCCAGCCAATATCAAGCTGAGCAAGATTCTCCCTCCCTTGAGGTCTCACCAGGCAATCCAGCTGGGAGATGGGGCTCTTGCTGCCCGGCTGGCTGATGTCCCAGATCTTCACGCAGCCCTTGCCGCCCGTGTAGACGTGCCGCGTGGGGTTGCTGATGGTCACGGCGCACACCACCTCGCCGTGGCTCAGGGTGTTGATCTGGCGGGCGTGCCTGGGGATGCCGGGGCCAGCCAGGGCGTCGTGGGGAAAGGGCACGGGCTGCATCTGCCCGTCGGCGCTCACATGGAAGGAGTAGGCTCTGGAAGGACGAGAACCATCATGCTGCCATCTCTGGCCCCCTGCAGCGGCCCCACCGCTTTTTCTGCTCAGTTCAAGCCACAGCGCACAGCTGCTGGCCTCCCTGCCACCAAGTTAGCCTCTCCTGGCATCTCAAGCAACACAGCTTTGCACAAACCATCCCCTCCCTGGAACTAATCAATGATGGCTCCTCACTGCCCACTCAACAGCCCCAGGTTCTTGGCCTGGACTCATCAAGGTGATGGCCCCCTAACATCCTGACCTTGATTTCTGCTCCTATTTGTTCATTCTTCTTCCAGTCAAAATAGTTTCCACCTATCCTCCTCTTCTGCAAATCTATAAGCAGCCTAGTATTTTGGCCCAAGGAAAGGCCCAGCTTAAAAGCAATCTCCTTGAAGCATTCTCTCCAGTCTCTACTGGAGACTCCCAGAGAGAGAGTAGCTCACAGACCTCTAGATTTTGTTCCAACTTCTTTCTACGGAGTCATGAGATCAGATTTGAGGTGTGGAGAGTAAGGGGGCTGAATGTGCAGGCCATCGCTCTCTGGCTTTTCACAAATAGAGGTGAACCCACAAAATACAACCCAACCCCAAAGGCATCAAGCTAATTTCCATCCACAAAGATGGGGGGAAGGGAAGCGTTAGTGTAATTAGAGAGAGCAGGTACAAGGTCAACAGCACTCAACCCTGGACCTTAGGATGAGAGCGTGACGGGGCTGTCCCTCTCCATGTCACGTCTCAGGGACTGGCCTTCACTCCATCCTAATTATGCAGAGACAAGGGCAGACAGGATATCCTACGGATCTCCTAAGCCCGGTATTACCCTTTCACACGAGAACCAGCCATCTCACTGCTTATGGACAATCTTCTAATATGCCAATGTTAAGTCTCTCTAGGGGACCATATGCCTCCCATAAGTACCTCTGTCAGCCAAGTGCCTAAAAAGCTGCCAATCCGGCACCTTTGTTCCCTAACCGAATACCCTCATCCATTTCCCTGCATGCCTAGGGGCCTGTGCAGATGGGCTCCAAGGCTGACCCATTCCTGCATTCATCTGGAAGCCCATGAGAGATTGTGGACTTAACAGCCATCATGATGGTTCAATATGGCAGTCACGAAGTCAGCCCACAGCAGAGAAATGTGCTCTGGAGTTACAGCCCCGCAGTGAGGGCTGCCTCAAAACTCTGGCCTAATGCTACGCTTCTCTCCAGCATCTTCCCCTCTCGGGTCCCAATGCAGACTCCCTGATACCTAGCGCAGGCAATGGGAGGGAGCCTCCGTGTTCCTCCAGAACGAACTGCCGTAAGTGCCTGCAAGTTCAGTCAGGGAGCCAGCGTGGACTGCCTGCTGCTTCAGCTGCTGTCCATGCAAAGACTCGCTGATGACAATCTTTCAACGCGGGCATGGAAGGCACTACTCTCTCAGTCTTTACATCTTCATGACAACCAAGGATGGACAGGGCAAAGGCATGTTCTCCAGAGGAGACAGTGCCCAGGCCTGTGGTATCTGTGTGTCCAGCTCCTGGAGCCCAGAGCACCTTGTCTCCTGGAGCCCATGAGTGCACTTCACCACTACGTGCCCTCCATGCCCTCTCATAGCTCCCATTCGTAAGGGACGTCCTGGGCTAATCAGGAGTGTGGTCAGGCAGCTGAGACCTGATGGGCAGGCACCTTCTCTAAAGGGAAGTCCACCTACCTAGGTAAACTCATGGTCAGACAGGTTTGGATGTGTCCCCTCCAACCCTCCCAAGGAAGCATACAAAAAAAAAAAAAAAACCAACCCAGAACCAAAGCTTACGGTTTTCCACCAGGAATGGAGGCGAGGCTTGAGGGCAGGCCTGTGGCCCTCATGGGCGGGTGAGGGTCAAAACCAACCTGGAAGGCAAGACAAGGCCAGCCCTTACCCAGGGATGCCACTGCTCCCTCCCCCCACCCCGCCTCCTTCACCCAAAGCTCAGCCAGGCCCCTCAGCTCCACCAAACAGGAGCTGGAGAGACAGCAGAACAGAGCCGAGTGCACCATGTGACAGGAAGCAGGCCTGCAGGGTGAGCACGCGGCCTGGACAACAGCACGGCTTGGGTGAGAGTGCAGGACCCCATGTCAGGTTCTCTCAATTCTATAAGGTGTACCAGCCCTGTCCCCTTCTACCCCTCCAGAGGGGCCTGTCATGTGGAGACAGGTTATCTTAAATAAAGGGGGTCAAGAGAGCCACTGTCTCCTAAAAAAAGTCCTTTCTCTGCCAGCCCAAATCCTACGTGTTTACCACTAACACCCAACAAGTGCTGTTACCATGACAACCTAGTCCTGTTTGCCAAACACTGTTCTGTGGAGGTCATTTTCCACCTCTGAAGACTCCTGCCCCTGAAGGAGCATGGAAAGGTAGGAATCAAACTGCCTCCCACACTGGAAAGGGATGCTTGGTCTGGAGGACCTTGTAGGAGGTCCCATGGCTAATGGCAGGCAAGCCAGGAGAGGCCACATCTGCCTAGTCCCCACGCCATCAGCTCAGCCCCTGGCTCTTAAATGCTCTTGCGAACACAAGCGCCTGGCTGTTAAGACCCTGAGGGTCTTACATATGGTATGGACACGCTGCCCCTCAAACCATCCCAACTCCCCACTGCCCAGTCCCCAGAAAAAGGAGCTAAAAGGTCTACGTACAGCTCCAAAGCTCACCATTGACGACCGGCCATAGGCGGCAGCTGCAGCGGCGGCCGCGGCACTCATCTGTGGGGGGATGTTGTGCAGGCTGGCGTAGGCGCCAGGGCTGGTGAGAGAGCCGTTCATATCGTGGTGGCTCATCATGGCAAAGGGTGCCGCGTAGGAACTGGTGATGGAGATGGGCGTGCGCAGGGCGGAGGCTGTGGGAGGCAGGAGTCAGACTGCTAGGTCTACAGCAAAGACCCTCACTCACCTAGTAGCTGTCCTTCCTGAATTCTAAGGCCACCTCTTCCAGGCAGTGCCCTTGGATTGAATCTCTCCTAATAAATTTTTATTACTTCCCAGCCAAAGAAGATGAGGGGTTGGAGATGTGTCTCCCTTGTTACCGAGCAGGATTCTGTGTCCCAGTGAAGGGTACTCTGGCTTGTTATGAGCCCACACAACTCTGGAGAAGCCAGGAACAAAACAGAGCTCTGACCTGTCCAGCAGCCCCATCCACCTCTCATTCAGGGCCCCAAAGGCCCTGACACCAGTATCAAAGCACCAAGTGCCCATCCCTGCTCCTCAAAACTCACTCTGTGGCCCCTATCCTGGTTCAGCCAGCCCCCCACCCCTCCACAAGCCCCATCATGCCTACCCATTATACCTAGCGGGTCCATGCCTGGAGGTTTGCCTGGCATTGACCGGAGCCCGGGGGTCGTGCTGGTGCCGGGAGTCGGGGCATCATTCCTTGGAGTTGGCGTGTTGGACTTGAGCCCAGGGGTGGAGGACTTATCATTCTGAAACGGGAAGACGCAGAAACCAAGGGTTGTGAGGATTCCCTTCTCCTGAGAGCTGGGCATCTGGACCCCTGACCAACCAGCCTCCTGGCCCGTGCCCAAGCGTGGTTGCCAGAAAATGGGGTAACATTTTACAGATGTAGCAACTGTGGCTCAGAAATGTTAAGTAACTCTACCCAGCACAGAGTCCCAAGGAGTCATGGAGGCACTATGGCTAAGCCCTCAGCTACTACTCAAAAGACGATTCAAATCTACCCAACAACCCCATGGGGAAGAGACCAGAAACAGGGCTCCCAGAGAGATCTCAGCCTTGGAAACACTACAGGGCACTTCAGCTCTGTCCTAGAGGGTCCATGAATTCACTTTAGCACAGTATCACAGTACAGGGCTCAAGCAAGAATTTGAACCTGGCTTACACCCCAAGTCTATTCTTTCTAATTACTTCTTTTTCCTCCAATAAGCACCACTCTGACTCCAAGTTTTCCTTCTACCTTCATGACTCCAGGCACTGTCTGAGAAAGAAACAATCTTGCTTCTCCCAGAGCTCCTCCTGCCCCCACAGCGCAGGCTCCACTCACATGACCAAGGTCTTTGGTCTTGGAGGACGGTGTGCTGCTGGAAGAGGCCACAGAGGCGGGGCTGGTGGGGGCATCCTTCTTCAGGCCTCGGGCCTTGTCCAGCCCATTTTCAGGAGGGGAGTGTGCCGGGCTGACCCGGGGCGTGGTTGGATCCTGAAAACATAAGAGAACCCAAGAGGGGCTGAAAGCACAACTAGACCAGCATGGTCCTTGCTCCAGAGTTGGGGTGCATGAGTATCTATGTGTAGGCAACAGGGAAAAGAGAAGAGGCCTGACTGAAAGACTAATCAGGGGTTAACTAATTTTTCATAATCTAGTCTGATCCTTTCATTCTATGAATGGGGAGATGGAGGCCTGGGGTCAGGAAGTGTGATCTGTCTAGCATCATACACACGTTCCCAGCAGCAGCTGGGCTCCCAGCCTAATGTGGGACTCTGTGCATCACTTCCTGCCCTCCTGATGCTGACCAGAGGCTCACAACCCTCATGCCCAGACCTCAGAACAGAGAGGGGACAGAGCCCCTGGAGAAGCACAGGATGCAAGAATGGTGGTACCCTACCCTGGGATCTGAAAGGAAAGGGTCTCTCTGCAGAGGCATCCCGGGTCCCTCATGACAAGCACGTCCAGTTGCCTTTCAGCAAAGCCCTGGCCTGCACCTCCCAACAGGTGTGCTGCATAGAGCGTAGCGGCCTTGTCATCCTTCTCAGGCTGCCGGAACACCAAGGAAGGAACCAAAAAGGCAGCAGCACCCACGGTGGAACAAGCTACCCCAAACCACGAGCCTCCTATCCTTACCTCATTGGACACGTCCACCACCAGATCATCACTCTTGTCCCCGTCACTGTCCTGTAACCAAGAAAGAAGCCAACTGGTCAACCCCCCCCCTCCTGCAATGAGCCAGAACCTCAATGTTTCCTCCAGGCAGTAAGCAGTAAAGCCAGGATTTGAAGCCAGGCCAAAATCCCAAAGTCCATGTCCTTTCTAACATCACCACCTTGAGCTCCAGTGAGCACAAAATCAGCTTCATTTTAGCTAGGGCGGATTCTTAACCAGGCTCCCAGCTTCTGGTCACTCGCGACCCATGTCCACTGGGCAGCCACACAGACACCCGCTCAATTATCACATTCCTACACTCCCACCCCTGCAGAGTGCCCTTTAAACTCATCTCAGAAGCCAGAAAAGTATCTCAGCTTGTTTAATATTCATCATCGTTCACAACCAAAAGCACTGTTTCCATTTAACCAGTGGGGTGGGTGACTGGCTTCATCTCACAAAAATGTGGCTGGGGCTTGAGTGTGCAATGTGACTAAAGCCACAGAGTGGCCCAGTGACCGAGCAGGGCTGGACAGGAGACCACGAGTGCGTGTGGGTGACTTTCTCCACGAGTACCACCATCCCTTCCCTGTCCGTGATCTTACTGATGCCCAGTCGGACAGTGAGTAGATACAATGACGCCGCACGGGGACCTCACGCCAGGGGCTGCCACAGTCTTATGTGAAAGGGTATTAAAACCACAGCAGTGTGGGCTGAGTGGGTGCACCCAGACAGCAGATGATCAGGGCCATAGACAAAGTGTGGGGGTGCTGGAGCAGACTCAGGAGTGATGCCAATAGCCGGGGGTGATGGTCTAACTAAAAGGAGCTGACTGCCATCCCCATGTTCAATAGAGGTTCAAACAACCCTGGATGTACTTCTTACTAGGCTGGGCCTCCTATCCCCACTACAGGGTCACATTTCCCAAAGCCCCTCCTTGTCCTCCATAATGTACGTGCCTGTGAGGGCTGGGGCCACAACTCCATTGCAGCCTGTGCCCTGCAGCTGCCCGCCCACCCTCATCGTGCCCAGCAAGCCCAGACATACATATCGGCTCAGGCTGTCCTTCTCCTCTGCTTTCCGCTTCTTAGCTTCCAGGCTGTAGTCTGTGGAGCCTCGGTGCTTTTCACTGGCCCGGAGGCTTTCCGAGGGTGATACTGAATTATTCTAGAAGTGGAAGGGATTCAGGTCATAATCTACTGCTGAGTGTAGCATTTCGCACACACTGTCACCCAGCTATGTACAGGTTAACTAACGCCAGCTTGTCGGATAAGGGAGGAGACTCTCCACTTTGAGATACTGTGCACACACAACCTTGGCTCAAACACAGCCGCAAGTGGGGAGACCCTGTCAACAGCCCAGATGAGGCCTCCAAGACGCTGTCTTCAAGCACCTGCAGCTCTCCTCCACAAAAAAAACCAAAAAGCCCCAAACATGCCACCGTTCTTTATCATCAGCCCTGTAATGGGTCATCTGCCTCTGGCCTACGACATGGAAGGGTCACACCTGTCCCACCCACCAGCACATGTGCTCAGTGAAAAGGCAAGTGAAATTCTCCCTCAGTCTTAAATGATGGATCTGAGGCCACACGAAGGGGCCATGAGCAATATTTCATCCGCTGGCCCCAAGGGAAACGGGTGATTGATAAGGGAAGCGCATCCGGCTGCCACCACACCCATCAGCAGCGTGGCATTTCTGGTGAGCATCTGACCCTGCTGTGTGGCTCTGGCTGGCGTCAGAAAACACCAGAGCTATAGAGCGTCAGAATGCACCATTTTGAAGCCTATTCCTCTGCAGGACGGAAAGAGGTACGAGAGCAGGAAGAATCAGCCCCTCCTTATACACCCTGAAAGGCTGGAAAACCCCCCCAGTGTGAGGTAACACCAGAGAAACACAGCTTTTCAGGCCCAGGGGAGCCCAGGTTCTCCCTACAGCCATTAAGCAGGAGGATGAGAATGTCTTGAGAATGATCTAGAAGCCTGGGAAGAGAGAAGGTGTGCAAAGAGCACAGGAAGCACTCGCAGATGGACCTGGGAACTGAATGGTCCAGAAGGTGAGAGTCATGGTGACCCAGGCAAACACACACTGGTTGGTTGACCGCCTCAGGTGGAAGGACTGGAGGGGGGACCTGCCAGCAAACTTTGTGCCAAGAGATCCAACCTGAGGCCCTCCAGGATGCTCTTGAGGCTCACTCTGTGGGTAAAGCCCCAGCTGTACCTTTACCTACTCTTTAGGTTACCCCTTACCTACACTGTCTGAGCACCTGCCCTGGGCCAGGCCTGAGGGTTGGACGTCAGGGATGGAAGAATAAAAGAGGACAGCCCCTGCCTCCAGGAGCTCACAGGCTAACTGCAGGGAAGAAAAGGAAAAGCCAGCCAAGCTGCAATCCCCACATGGTAAGGAGGTTAAGATGATGATGCCAGGCACACACACAGAAGCGACACCTCTTCCTGATGGAAGGACGTCTAAAGGCAGGCGAATGAACCTCCAGTCACATCTTCCCATTCTACCAAATGCCAGTGCTGGCTCAGGTCTTCCTGGCAGTGCACAAACTTCATGAACTCGCTGCCAATGGAGTGGATGGCTATCTGAATCTAACCAGAAGTGCCAAGGAAGAAAGGCCTGGCAAACTGCCTCCTCGCCTCCCACCCAAAATCAGCTGCTGAAACCCCAAAGGGGCACATTTCTACTCTAGACACATGCAGGGTTGCCAAGAGTCACCATTAACTCGATAGCTATTGCTGGATGCTGGCACAGGGGTCACTTGAAGGGAATGAGGATGGACAGCTGAGAGGTGGTGTGCGCGGAGGGGCTGGCGCGGGAACCAGCCGCAGAACTTAATTTCCTTTCCTAAGCCGGTTTCTGGGCAGCCCTTCCCTGCCAAGTTTCTGCCTGGAGCAAATTAAAATGGCAGAGTTATCAAGCCTTGAAGAAAAAAATGGAGGTTATAATGGAACTGCAGCTCAACCTTCCCCACAGCCATGCAGGAGCATGGCGATGTGCGCACAGCCGCAATTCAATTAGCTGCAGCAAGCGCCGGCAGAAAAAAAAATCCCCGTCATTTCATTTCATTTCCTCCCACGGTGGCGGCCACCCCGTGCTAAGCAGAGCCGCTTCCAGCCCCTCTCGCTGGCCCTCTCGGGGCAGGCGGCGGGCGGAGAGGGGGGCGTGCGGCCGCTCGTGTTTCTCCTTACGACCCGGTCCGGGACTCGGAGAACAGGGAGCTCTTTCTTCTCATGCAGTCAGGCTGAAAACCCTCGCTGCTACCGGAGAGTCATGTCAGGCATTTTATGTCAGGCATTTAGCGGCATCGATCCAGCCCGCCTCTGGCTGGCAGGCGGCCAAAAAACTAAGTATTTTTTATTGCTTCGGCTAGGCAAGGAAATATGAATGAAGCTACCTCTAATTGGACTCCAGACTAACCCCTCTGGGACCGTTTCCAGCCCCTCCACCGGCCCCCTCCGACTCCAGCCAGAGCCCTGTCCTTCCTGGCGTGGCCTCATCTGTTGACAACCTGGTTTCCAGAGGCCTAAGTGACCTCAGTCTATCCCCCCCCCCCCCCACGCTGTAGTCACAAGCACAGGGCCCTGGGGCTGGCCTCCAGCCACGCAGCAAAGCACCCTGACCCACTCCTATGTGATCATCTAGGAACCAGCCCTGAGAGGCGGCTAAGCAGATACACCAGGGGGAGTGGCCGTGTGACAGGGGCTCTCTGAGGGCTGCTTTGGCAAGAAGTGTTCTGAGATTTGGGGCATGAAGCCAAGGAAAAATATAAATGATGGTGAGGAGAATGTGAGGACCAGGGAATGTCAGGCTTCAAACAGCCCTTTCGTCCTACAGTCAGCCACTTTTTAACCCCATCATCTCCTGGACTCCATAGGTCTTCCTGACAAACCGAGCGGCTGACTGGGCAGGCACTAGCCTACGATAAGGATAAGGCTCTGGTGGCAGAACCTATAGGGAGTTATGCTACAGGGAAAGGCTGGGCCTCTCTGGTGGTTACAATCTACCAGCTGCTCCGTGGGAGAAGGATGGGCAATCTCCTCACACATCTGGAAACCACCCCTGGGCCAGCTGAGAGCTGGCTCCAAATCCACAACAAAGAGAGAAAGAAAAGTCCCTGAATGAGTCACGAGGCTAAGAGCAGAAAGGTGGGCAAGACCGCACCCAGAGGGGCGTCTGAAGATGAGCCTGGTGGTCTGCTAATGAAAAGTCCCCACCTCGAAAGCCCGACACAAAACCCTACACAGCAGTTCTCTGCACACAGGGGCTGCCAAGAATTTCAAGTGATTCAACTGCAAGTAATATTAACATCCAAGAAAGAAACAGAGGTTCAGAGAGGCCAAGAGGGTCCACAGAGTTGGGGCAGTTGTAAGTCTTGAGGGGTCCAGACCAAAGCTGCTTCTGCGAACCACCTCTGCAGGGAAGGCCACTGTGTCTGAGGATCAGCTCAAAGCATTCAAAATGGGATTTTATCTCCAATGACTGTTTTCTCACGCACCTTAGTCACACCACTCCTGGGTCCTAAATGTGAATTTACTATTCTGAGCATGCAGCCAAGTCAAAGGGAAGCCATGGGCATCCCTGCAAACGAAGCTTAACAAGTCTATCTGGGAAGGGCAGAGACGGCAGGTGGGATGTCGTGGGGGGGGGGGGGTGCAGCCCGAGGAATCGGCTATTGAGACGGTTAGTTAACTGCCCGACCTTCCAAGTTCTACTTAACACAAGGTAATAACCAAAGCCATCCTGACAGATTAGATGGCCCAAGATACAAGGACGGCGATGAGGAATAAAATAGCTTTGCTAATCGCTGGAGGATTTTTTTTATCCTGCCTCTACCGCGCTTATTCAGAAGGCTTATTCACTTGAAACAGAACCTCTGAGCCTTGGTGCGATCAGAAAGATTTACAACAAATCTCAGAGCTGGCAGACACGCAGGCGGCCCTGGCCTTCATGCTCGCTCACAAGTGCTTTCTTAAACCGAGTGAAAGCCCAGAGTAGGGAGCAAGTAAAAGCAGGGAGCAGGCATTTGGAGGAACTGAAGAGGGGGCTACAAATCATGGAGGAAGAAGCCTGAGGGGTAGAGGGAAAACTCAGGCTGGAAAGTGGGACAGACATGTCCTGAGCCGAGTCCAGCCCAGTGGCTCCACAAATCCCTCTGGCAGAACCTGAGCTGGCCAGCTGACCTCTCTGAGGCAGGGGTCATTCACAAGGTCTTCATTTGACAAAATGATGGAGCAAGGCCCAGAGAGCTGAAGGACTAAAGGTCATTTAACAGGTGATAACACTGCTGGTGGAGCCTTGGGTCAGGTCTCCCAGAGCCCAAGGTACAAGCGACAAATCCTTCCCAGATTCTACCCAAGAAGTCAGAGTGGAGGATCCTGAGTCCATTTCACAATTCCAGGAGCAAGCTGCCCGGCCAGGAGCCCCCAGCCCCTCCGCTTCCTAGCCCCCCAACCCAAATTCATGTCATGTGTGCCTCACTTACCGCGCTTGCTTCTCTCTCTTTATGGAAGAAAGACCAGGTCAGGAGGAGGTGGCCCGGGTCACCCGGAGACAAAGAGACAAAAAAGAAAGGCAAAAGGTCAGTCTCAGTCCAGCTGGCTTTCTGGTTCGCTAGTTCACTGGTTTGAAAATGGGCAGCAGGCCGGCCCTCCGAGTGGAGCGGGTCAGCCAAGGCAGGGCCATTAAGTGAAGTTTTCTCAGCTTGGAAATGAACCACCCAGATTCCACCCGCGTCCCCGCCTAGGTCCTCGGGGTGGCAGGAAGCCTTGGGCCTAGCTCTCCTGGACTTGCCAAGAATGGCACATTGCCGACTGGGGTTTTATAAAAAAGCTTTCAGCTTGGGAGAGACACATTTTGCCTAAAGTACATGCAGGATCCAGGAGCCAGAAAATTTACCAAGGGGAACAACGGGGAAGTAGTTTTTCAGTCTTTTTTTTTTTTTAAGTGATTTTTAATTAACACCATTCTCTTGCTCCATCAAAAAGCCCCTGGAAACCAAAGTGTCTGTTTGCCAGCCAAGCACTAGCTCCCCACTTGTCCTGTTTACTGGGGTGAGGTTGGGGACACTACCCTATGCAGGGACACAAGCTATCCTCCTGTTCTCATCTTCTGCTATTTGCAATGGGGCCAGGGCAGAATGAGGTCACTCCACAGCCTTCACACCAAGAAAGGGGCATGGGGATTGAGGGGAGCCTGCAACACATTAGCTGGTGCCCCCGTAACTGTCGCTCTGAGAGCAAAACCTGACAAGTGACAACTTGTGAAATGTAACCTGCCAAGGAGTCAGGCCCTTTACCGATGCATCAAACACTCAGCATGTTTTTGGTGCCAGTTTCCAGGTTCTAAGGGCCAAGGTGAAGAGTTGAAGGGAAGGAAGAGCAAAGCCCTGACTCCAGGCCTGTCCAATCAGCTCCCTGTTGGAGTGCACTCGCTCCCTCCACTTACAGTCAGCAGAGTCTTTGCTGGAGCACCACCTATTTACATTTTCAAAAACTCCTGAGTTGGTGAGACTTATATGCTGAAAAAAACACTGGGGGCTCAGCTCCTGTCCTCAGAGAGCTGGTGGAGTTCATGACGAGGCAGCTCTCTCCAGGGAGAGGCCGCAGTGGATAGCAGCACAGGGTGAAGGCACGGGAACCTGACTCATAAAACTCCTGTACGTGAATTTGAAAAAAGGTCACTTGGTCTGTCCAGGAAGGAATCCTTAAGAAGTGGGACAGAGAATGGACCTTGAAGGTAGGAAGATGAGAAAGTGCTAGGGGGTGAAGGCTTCAAAGCAGAGACCAGGCCCATGTTAAAATTGTGGGGCTGGTGGGGAGGATGGGATGCTCTTTTCCACATGCTACGGGTTCAGCAGATAGTTCTAAACCCTTCACTAACTCCTGGTCCCAGGGTGCCATATTTGCTGTGCCCACTTGCAATGGGGATTCGAGCCAAGAACTCCTAGTCCAGTCCCGCCCCACCACACCCCTTTCCCTCGGGCCTGTCCGCACCTCTGTGGTCAAGTTCATGGTGGTTCTTCTCGTCCTTCACTGTCAGGTGGGCCTGGCTGCCCAGGGCACCAAGAGCCAGCAGCCCTGAGCTGCTCCCCGTCACTGGGGGTATCCCTGGAGGCTGGAGGCCCGACGGGTGGGGTGGCAGCTGGACCGGGGGGCCGTGCGTGGCATGGGAGAGGTGCTGTGCCTGGAGCTGCTGTTGCTGCAATGAAGTCGGCCATGAGCACAGCTGAGTGGGAGAGGGCAGGAGAGGCATCCGGGCTGCCTCGTTTCCTGCAGCAGGCAGCAGGGGAAACACCCCCGCCACCTTTGCCCTCAGCTCAGCCCACATGCTCATCTTGCTGAAGGAACAGTCTGTTAATGGACTGCAATTTAGATACAAGATTTATATCTACACACACTCCGACCCCAGTTTCAGCGGAGGCATTCTTAATGTATGCTTCCAAGCCCCAGATAAATAATGCATGCATTAAAAAAAACACCACCACAGCCATCAGGGCTCCCTCTCAGCTCAAGGGGATCCACGCCGGCGCTCCCAGCAGTCACCCTGTCTGCTCATGCTTACATGCCTTCAACAGCTAGCAGCCAGCATCTCCCACCCCGAGGCATACGTCCCCCTCCCCACCCCACTCCAAAGAACTCCAGGCCTGGCTTGCAGAGCTGGGTGACCCACAGCAGAAAATCCCAGAGAGAAAGGTGAGCTAAGATCCCTGGGCACCAGCATGAAAAAGAGAGTCTGAAGTTAAGGGGCGAGGGCGCTGGAACCAGAGATCAGGATTTAAGTCATAGCTCTGGCACTCCCTAGCTATGTGACCTTGGGCAGAATCCTACACCTTCCTGAGCCTCAAAAGTCCTTATCTGTACAGAGGGGAGGGAGGCAGCATCTACCTCAGAGAATTACTGCAAGATGTGTGTAACAGCCCCTGGCACCAGTGATAACTCATTAAATTATCATAATAGCTAATGTTTACTGATGGCTTACAATGTTACATGCATTAACTCGGTATTATCACCAAGAGCCACTAAAACAACCCGTCTGTGTCGTCCCCAGCCCCAATCATGGACTCTACTCCCTTGAGTCCAGAGGCCCCAGATATCATAAACTGGCCCAGTCCTCAGGGGTTCCTCCACCTCTCTTCTCCTCACATGCTAATAACTGGCTTAAGGATCCCTGGCTTTCTGCAGTCAGCCAGGACCGAATGCCCTTCAGCATTCCTAAGATTGTGCCAAGATCCTTAGATTCCTAATTCCTAAGATTGTGCCAGGACCCATGGGTATTATGCAGCAGGCAACACAACCACCAAAGGTGTCTTAAGAACTGGACTATTTCTTAAGAGTGACCAGAGCCCTGGCTATGCTGGACCCACTACACACCCATGTTTTGTTTTTTCTCCCTCAACTAGCACAAAACAAGGGCCTCAAACAACACCTAAAGGCATGCCTACACACTTACCAAATTATATCTGTGATAAGAGGCATGGGCCCATTTTACAGACAGCAAACTGAGGTGGAAAGAATGAAGAGTGGGCAGCAGGGACCTGGCCAAATACCAGCACTAATGAGTGTGAGATCTGTCAACCATTTACTCATCCAAAAGATGTTCTTAAAGAAACACCAAAAATGAGAAGAGGAAGTGGGGGTGTGAAGTGTGTAAGCCCAGATTTCCCTGGGTACCCACCACGGCACCCCATATTCATATCTCAGTCTACTGTGAAAATCCACGACCTCCCAGGCAAGGAACTACGACATCTTCCTGATGGGCACTCACACTTGACCTCCTACACCTTTTCTTTTTAAAAGGAGTATTTTTACAAGGAGCTCTGGTGTAGCATGGTTTGCTGTATGGTTTATAGTGTGCTTTAATGCAAAGCAAAAGGCCATGGCTCCAGCAGTTCAAATCCACCAACAGCTCTGTGGGATAAAGACGGGCAGTTTCCTCCAGTTCAGCTTTACAGCCTTGAAAACCAGATCACTGTGGACTGACTGGACAGCAGCCGAGTCTGGATTTGGGGGCTATTTTTATGTCTTGTTACAAAATTAATACATGCTCATTGCAACACAAAATAGGAATAAAGAAAAACAGATTTAAAAATTATTTTTAAACCACCCTTTTACCCTAGAAGAGTCCACTGTTAATCTGCCTTGAGTTTTCCTTTATGGAAATCTTCAATGAACTCATCTTTATTAAAACATTTAAATGTATAGCTTTCTACATAGAGGGGCTCTTGTTAAGGAGCACAGTGCTGTGTGGCTTGACTTTGACTTGAAAGAGTGGTCAGCACAAAGAGATAAACTTGTCCTCCGTGATACTGTACGCCCCGCGGTGGCTAGATCACAGTGACATTGTCTGGACATCCACTTTTAAATGAGTCTCTAGCAGGACCCTATGCTATCAGCCTCTCAATTCTCCCGGTGACAACTCTTTAGTAAAATCCCTACCCCCAGCAAAGTCTAGGGTACTTAATCCACTTTTAATAGTTCAAGGCCAAGTAAAGTCTCTTGAAGAAAAAAGGAGAAAGAGGAGGAAGGAAAATATGATTTCAAAGACCCAAAAGGAGCCTGTTCTGATTCTTTGGCTGCCTGGCGAACAGCTCACTCCTCCCAGAAATGACTGACTCCCTTTCGAGAAGAAAAAGTGACTCAAGATTTGTATCCATGGAAAAATGTTAAGTAAATAATTCCAAATATCCTGATTCTTTTACCGAGTTAAGTCTACTCTCCCACCCAACCCTCCAGGCTCAACACCTGTTGTGGTTTGGTGACAGTCAAGTTCGACCCACAGTGACCCTAAGAACAAGAGATCTGAAGCCTGTCCTGTCCTATGCCAACCTCTCATCATCTCTGACACACCTGAGCCCACTGCTGCAGTCACTGAGTCACTGCATCTCCCTGGCAGCCTTCCTCTCACTCACTGGCCCTCCGCCTTTCTAAGCATGATGGCCCTCTCCAAGAGCCTCCAGCCCAAGTTCAAATGTTACCTCCTCTGGAAAACCCTCTCCCTTTCCCTGGCTGGAATGGACTGATCCTTCTGAAGTGTTCTAACAGCAGCCCTAACTCTGGAGCTAGACAGCCTAGTATGGACTTTCAAAGCTATGTTCTATCAAATGAGATTTAAATCAAGTCACCAGATATGTCTGGGTGTAGTCTCCTCATCTGAAAAACAAAAGTCCTTCTCCTGATGACTGCATAAGAATCATGAACATCACTATATGTAAAAGGCAAATTAAGTGTTCAATTAGCATCAGCAAACACTGTGGGGTTGGACTGCGAACATAACCCTCCTTTCCTTCCTCCTCATGTGATATTTGGCAATTTATGTGTCACGCCCTGGAGACTGTGAGCACCAGGAAGACAGGGACCACTCACTCATCGCAGCACCTGAACAGGGTCCCTCTGGTGTGCTCAGTACATGTACGCGGGATGAATCCGTGATTGCTGGAAAAGGCCTGCAGGGAGAAGCTGGAAACGAGACCAGCACGTGGCTATGCAGAGGCAAGGCCTGCTGCCCTGATCCACGTTTGCACGCTGAGGTCCTGGGACTGTAGATGATCTCAACCAATGTGGCGCAGTTAACACAGAGAGCTGGGATGCTGGTGTTAGGTGTAGCTGAGTCGAGTACGACTCACAGCGACCCTATGAACAGATCTGAACCCTTCCCTGTTCTGAGCCATTCACACCATCTCTGACACTCTAGAGCCCATTGCTGAAGTCACTGTGTCAATCCATCTCATTGGGAGTCTTCGATCCTCCATCTCTCCACGCACAATGCCTCTTTCCAAGGAAGAGCGTCTCCTAGGAACATGTCCAAAGTATGAAAGGTGAAGTTTTGTCATATTTGCCTCCAAGGAGCACTCTGGCGGCACTTTTCCCCAAAACATCTGTTTGTTGTTGGAATAAGGAACAATTAATGGTTCATTCTGCTTCTTTGATCCATGAACCAGTGTCTCCATGCCATTGGCTCTTCTGTGTCATGCCTAGGGAGCACAGTGGGAGCGCTCTCTTTCCAAGAGAGGAAAGAACTGTTGAAGCAAAAGTCAAGAGTTTCTCATGCACAAGAGCAATCTGCCCACACAACCAGGAATCTCCCTGCATTTGGATCTGAGTGGTCTAAAGGTCCAGTTAGGGCTGGCCCAGCAATCTCAGGGGAGCAGGACCGAAGAGCCAACCTTCAAGGCTTCTCGAGGTGAACAGGCTGTAGGAGTTGTTGGGGGAAGGGTCTGCTAACACCAGTCTTGGCTGCAAGGCTGACACAATATCCTCTTCAGAACAGGGAGAGACAGGTAGCAGCAATACACTTGACTTGATGGCCCCACGCCACCCGCTGCAACTGTGCTGGGCCGGCCACGAAGGGCGGCACTTCCATCCCCTGCAAAGTGGAGCTCCTTCCTGTTCGCTTGATCTGACTGACTGGCAATGCCTGTGATAATAAGTCCCCAGGCTTCAGGGGACAATCTGCTCAAGCACAGTGACATCTGAATGGGGGCGGGTGACAGTGCTTTCAAATGGAGACCATTCCCCATGGAGAAAAGTGGAATCCACTCACAGCCTGTCTCCTGTTTCTCCTTCCCAATGGACTTTTCCACAATCCAAGAGGATGCTGCCAAGGTGCTCGCTCACCCTCGACACCCCCTGGAGGGGTCAGGAGTCTGAACCCACTCCCACCCGCGGTGCCTACCCTCTCCACCTTTATAGCCCCGTGCCAGACACAAGCCATGTCTGAGGTCGTGTTCACGGGGCACACACGTGTGCCCCAAGCCTCACGTGTGTGTGCTGAGTGCCCGTGGCCTGAGCTCAGGAGGTGACACCCCTCCAAGGAGGGGCCGCCAGGGAGGATCCTGCTTGCAGCGCATGTGTAATTGGATTATGCTTCCAGCCTCCACAGGCGGATTTAATGCTTCGCTTCTTACGCTCACCACTTGGGTTCAACTTAGTGAAGTTGTCTAAGCATTTCCAGAGCCACCGAGGACTTGGAGCAGAGGGAGCAGAGACAAGGTCCTAAATGCATGAGACGAACACTTGCAGACCTCCAAGGGAAGGTGGGGGGAGAGCTGGGGCCCCGCTCACTAACCCCCACTCCCCATCTCAGTGGCCCCCAGACCACAACGAATCTCACTAAGTTACTAAGAAATGCTTTCATGCTTGCTAATAGCTTTTCACACTCATACTAAGCCTTGCTAGGCCCCACTTCATGGATGGGGAGGGAATAGGGTTGGGAAGACTGAGACTCAGCTAAGCCAGCAGCGGCTACCGTCCCAGCTACTCAAGTCTCCATCACAACAGCCTCCAGGAAAAGCAACCACCGGTCCTAACCCCTCATGTCAAACCCAAGTAGCTGCTCCAGGGCATTCTACGACCTACCCTGACTTCAAAAGAGAAGTCAGTGATTTATAACCTCACAGCCACTAAGCCTTCCACAGGAATACACAGCAATTTGTTGATGGGCAAAGTGGGTGAGAGCCCTCTCATTTCCCTCACCCCAAGCACAAAGACCTTGATGGACAGAGCCGCTTTCACTACCGTTGTGTCAGAACCACCTCAGAGCTGACTCTCTGGTGAGTTTTCAGAGGCTGTAATCACACTGTTCTCCCACAGAGGGGACTGTCCATCTTTCTCCCTATGAGCCACTGGTGGATTCGAATCACCTGCCTTTGTTTTACCCATTAGGCCACGAGAGCTCCCATGGGCCAGGGAAAAGCAACGTAAAGTGAGTTCCAGAAATGGTTGAAATATTAACTTGTAGGAAGACATACTCACTGCTTTCCCTGAAGTATTAAGGCCAAACTTTCTTTCCTAACACACAGAAATCTTGTCCCTCCGAACCAAATCCCAAACCCACTGCCACAGAGTTGACCCTTACTCACAGTTATGATCTGTGAGTGCTACTGTCCCTCGATCTTTACAGAAGCAGACTGCCACATCTTTCTCCTAAAGAGTAGATGGTGAGTTCAAACCATCAACCTTTCAGATAGAAAAGGCTCCTTGATCCCTGCAAGAATGCCCCAGAAGCTTAGATTTAAAAAACCTACAGCAATGTGTGCAGATCTCCTTTCAATAGGCCACCAATGAAAAGCCAAAAGCACGTAAACCGATAGGGAAACTAGAGTACTGGACATGGAACCATAGTTAACAAAAGTGAAGGACACATCATGGAAAAAATCTAACTAATGTCACAGTCAACACTCTTGGCACCAGTAGCCAGGAAATCAAAAAACGTATTGCGATGGGAAAGTCTGTTAGGGACCTCTCTAAAGTACTCAAGAGCAACGGTGTCTCTCTGGAGACTAAGGTCTGCCTGATACAGGCCATGGTTTTTGCAATCACTTGTTATGCATCAGAGAGTTGGACAATGACTAGGGAGGACAGAAGGAGAATTGATGCCTTTGAGCTATGGTGCTGGAGAAGAGTATTGAATGGACCATGGACTGCTAGGAAAACAAACAGATTCATCCTGGAGAGGGTTAAACCAGGCTACTCCTTGGAGGCAAGGATTCTGGGGCTTCGCCTGACATACTTTGGACATGTTGCAAGGAGAGACAGGTCTTTGGAGAGGGACATCATGCTGGGTAGAGTAGAGGGACAGCACAGGAGGGGAAGACCCTCTATGAGGTGGATTGATTCCGTGACTGGGGTAATGGGGATGGGTGTGTCAGAGGCAATGAGATTGGCACAGGATAGAGCAGGGTTTTGGGCTGTTGTACATAGGGTCGCTATGAGTCGCAAACGACTCGACGGCACATAACAACAACAACAACAAATATCACAGAACAATGTGTGCAGAAACAGTCAAATAGGATTCTAATTGGCTGTGTAGACTTTAACTTGAAACACAATAAAATAACAAGCTTATTGATCTAAACATGGGCATGGTGCAGGGAAGGGGGGTGCTGTGTCCCACTGTACATGAAGTCCCCAGGAATCAGCACTGACTCGACAGCTACAGCACCCCCACACTGTGCCAGGCTCACTGTGTGTCTACTCTGAGATGGGATATGCTCTCTGAATCCTTCAGCCCAAGAAGGCCACCGTCCAAGACAGAAGCCAGTGTACCATGAGACCCACAGTCCTCCCACCTCTTCTCATAAATGGGGAAACTGAGGCTCAGAGTTAAAAAAAGCAACCAGCCTGAAGGCTTCCTAATGCCCAGCCCCATGAGCCTGGCTGTTTGTCCTTCTAGACAGAGATGAGCACCATGGAGGTAGTAAGCTGGGCCTCCTGGGACCCCGCCTGTTCTTCCCGCCTCCACCTCCTCTACTGGGCCCCCTGTCAGTCTCTGCCATCTCCCACTCAGGAGGCAGCCTGGTGGCGGGCCCCTCTCTCCTCTCCTTCCAGAAGGAGATAAAGAACGCCCTGACTAGATTAGCCGGGTGCAGTCAAGCAGGGAGCCCCGAGCCTGCCTCAGCTGTCCGTAATTCCTGCCTTGTGAGGCTCCGTCAGGCGCGGCGATTAGACGGCTGCCTGCTTAATGACAGGGCGACGGCGGCATTCACTCAGAGCCCGAGAAGCAATTACCTTGAAAATGGGGGTCACAGGCCCCACTCGTTGGCTTTAATTGAATTCCAATATCTGCCTCGAGCTGCCTTGACCTAACTTGTAGCTTCCTAAATACTACTTAAAGGAAGCGGAGCTAATTCAAACAGCACGTCATCCTCGATTTTTCACTCTTTCCTTAAAAGTTCGAAAAAAATGATTTTCCTAAGAGGACTCCAATTCCAAGGAGGGAGGCAGATGGAGAGAAGGAACCCTCAACCTGGGCGCTGTAAGAAGAGTCTTGTCAAAGGGGTGAAGAGGAGCTGGAAGAGGAGAAATTTCACAAAGCAAACTTGCAATGCAGCTCCCGTTCTGCCGATACCCCTTCTACCACCCTGAGCAAAGCCACGGAGCCATGGAGGGTCTCTGAGGCTGAGGACATGGGCCACACACCAGGGAGGATGGGAGGGGTGGGGGTCAGCCCTGGGCCAGATGGGCTTAGCGCCTTAGCCGCCATGTAACCACACACAAAGCATCACCCCTTCTGACCATCTCTGTAAATCAAGAACACTGGGCTCCACCAGTGGTTCTCAGCACAGCATGATCTCACACTCCAGCCACATCTCTGATGGTCACAAGTATTATGTGAAGGTACTCGTAACATCTACTGGTCAGAGTTCAGGGATCGCTTAACATCCTGTCACGCATGGAACAGCTCCCCCAAACAGTCTCAAGTGCTGAAGCTGAAAGTCCCAGGGAAGATGCTCTCCAAGGAGCTCGGGTAGCACAGTGGGTTAAGAGCTTTGGTTTTTAAATGGCAGGTGGGTAGTTGGAGACCACCAGTCGAGCATGGAAGAAAAGACCTGGCAATCCGCTTCTATAGAGATCACCAGCTTCAGGAAACCCTGAGGGCAGTTCTACTCTGTGCAGAGGGCCCCCATGCGTCTGAAGAGGCTTGATGGCAAATAACACTAATAAATGATCTATCTCAGAGTACCTTGTACTCTTTAAAGTATTTTCATTCTCCTTTGGAGGTGCTGCCTTTCAGCTCAGGGGCTCCACAGACTGAATATTCCCAGTCTGTCCATTTCCACTCTGCTTTCAGATAGGAGGGCACCTGGTCCTTCCCAACAATGACAGGATTCAAACCAAGATAGGTGTATCTGTTCTGTAGCTGCCATCATCACGCTGGGCCCTGGTGACGTGACTAAAGCTTTAATGTCCCCGTTTCTCTGACCCCCTTGTTCCAGCATTTCTAGTGGAGCTAAGGAAAACACAGAGAGTTAATCCAATGCTCTCCTCTTACAGATGCAAAAATGAGAGGCTCAAAGACAAGGAATCTGCCCAAGGTCACACGGGAAAGAGGCAAGAGCCATCATTTCTCCCACCCTAGGAAGTCTGTGGCCCTTGGCTCCACCTTGCAATGGTGCTCTCACAGAACAGCAGCTAGAGAAAGGAGACCAGGCAGGATCCTCAGATGGTAAAGCAGAACAAAAGGACCTCAGTCAGGGCCAATCTGTCTCTGCTTCCCACCTCCAACCAATGCTGCAAAATGAGTCGGATGGAAGACCTCAAAACACATTGCCTGCCCAAGCCGGGGCCAATGGGGAAGAAAAGTGGAGTGCAAGCCCTGGGACTGGAACTGTTCAGATGCACCCTGGGGGACCCCAGCTGAGCTGGCTACGAAGAAGCAATCTCACCCTCACTTAGTTGTACAATGAAAAATTTACCCCAAGGTTAAAAATCTTGACTAAAGAAACATTTAGAAATTTCTTCCCTCCTCTGTATCTTCACCCTAGCATCAAAGAAGGAAGCCAGGAGAAAAATGCTTTTGAACCCAAGAAATTCACTAAAGATGCAAGCCAGACAAAGGTGCTAAAGGGGAGAGGCCTGGTAAGATGAGAAGTGGACCTCAGAAAGCACTCTTGGACTTTCCTCCTATCCCCAAGTGAGATGGGAATGTCAGAAGGTGCGGCTGGAAATCGAAGTGGTGATTGATCAGTAAGGCAGCTCAGTGCACGCACGGGACCGCCCCACCCCAAGCTCCACAGCACATTCCACATCAACACTACTGCAGAGAATGTCCTGATCCCAGGTGACCAAAGAAGGGCAGGCCTTCGCCAGGGGCGGCAACAGGGCAGACAAGCCCTGGGGGAGGCGTCAAGGGGTGGCCAGGTACTCTGAGTCTTTACGTGCCCACCAAGGTGAGGCCAGGCTCCTGCCCCTCTCAATGGCAGGGATGCCAAACGCCAGGAGAAAATGAGCTGATATGTTTCGAGTTCACAGTCAATTTCAGGTGTTTGACACCTCTCTGACTGGGGAATAGGAAGGCAGCTCCAAGTGGTCCAAGCCTATGACATGCTTGGGGAAGCCGGAGCCCTGGGGCCGCCACTCTTTGAGGCCAGCTAAGATCAGGGTCAATCTCTGGTTATGGTAAATGAGAGGAATAAAAGGGCTATACACACGGTGAGAGGCAGATTGGGGAGTCCACGTACCCCGATGATGGCGTTCAGCTCCGTCATGGTGACCTGCTTGGCGCGCTCCACGGCCTGCGCCACTTGCTGCTGGTGCTGGAGGGAACAGGGCGTGGGTTAGACGCGGCCACCTGGCCAGACAAAGAGGCAGTGGGCCAGCCACGGAGGCCACTGGGGCCAGGTAGTCACAGCCCCCACCAAAAAGACAGGCGGAGGGCCCACCAAACAGAACAGTAGTCCTTCAGGGCACAGGGCGGATGCCAGGGTATTCTTGCTTTCTCCTTGAAATCTCTGTCAATGAGCATGTATTACTTTTGTAATCAAAACTTTCTTCTAATTGTCTTAAGTTGTAAAGAAGGAAACGATGAGGAGCAAAAGAGGTCTATTTGACCACCACATCCTTCGCAAACTCATCTCAAAAACAACAACCCCAAGAGCTGGGTATCATTAGAGGGCATTCCCGAATGGTCATGTTGTTTCAAAATGTGAGGACAGTATGGTAAACGAGCAGGAGAGGGTCCTGGTTGATAATGTTGCTGGCAGAGTGTCTCCAGCTTCCATTTAAAAGGGCTCAGGAGAGGAAAAACACAAAGCACAACTTTCAATGCCTAGTCACTATCTAACAATGTAAAGAGACAGAAGACAATTAAAAAAATACTTGTCTCTAGATTGAAAAAAGAATGAGGAAGGGAGAAATGACATGAGCTGGAAGACTTAATGGCGTTCTAAGAGAAGACATCAATCATCGTATGTTCGTTCCTTTCTGCCTTGAAGCCCACCTGCTTTGTACACATGCTGGTCACCCCCATTGAGCTGCAAGGTGGGAGGACACTGCCTGTCCCATCCTCACACTACATGCAGGTGGCTCCTCTGCCTCAGAGGCACGGAGCTCAAAGGAGCTGACGTGGTCTCGGCACCTCAGAGACTCTGGGGGAGCTCTGTCTCAAGGGCAGGGTTTACCGCTGTTGAGCTCGGATGCCCAAGTTAAGAGTCAGCCCAACCTGTACAGAAGAAGCCATGGAAGTTAGCCCTCCTGTTGGCCTTGCACACAGATGCCCTGTACAGACATTTCCCTCAAACCAGCCCTGAGCTGCTCTCCTCAGAAGGTGTTGATAAAAGGTACCTGTCAGGCACCCCTGTAGAAGGGTGCTCTTTTCCTGGGGGCTGACATTCCCCTCCTTACTCTTATACATTTCCAAGGATGGGGTTCTAAGGCACAGAAAAGCAGAGGCTAAGAATGCTGTGTTTGGTAGGGCACAGAGGCACCCCTGATGGCCACTAGGCTGGTACAGACCAAGACTCTTCTCTGATCTCAGGTGGGCAACCGAGAACATCATTAGTCAGAAGGAGCAGAGTCCCTTGACAGAAGCCCTCTACCCAAGCGCTGGCTGGAGAAGCCACTGCACACTCAGATCTCACGACAATCAGGTGCACCCAAGTATGACGAGTACGGGGAGCCCAGGCCAGCAGCTTGGTGGGCTTGGGAAGAGACAGGAAACAGTGACAGTAGGGCTTACCTCTTGTGACAGGAAAGGCATGATCTGCGCTAAAATGGTGTTCAGTCTCTTCGCAATCTCTGTCTGCAAAGGAAAGGAGACCACATGAGGCTCGGGCAGATAAATCAAGTCACCATAATGTCAGTCAAGGACAAGTGCCAACTCCCCCCATCAAAACCACAGACCCAAACAACCGGCTCCATCTTTCCGCCTCCTGCTGGGAGGCCCTGGCTCAATCTACAACCCCAGCAATCCCATCCACCTCCCCTGGAATCAGACTGCTTATGTCTGGGGGAGCTCCCACCTCCTTTCAGGAGTGATGTGGCTCAGATTACAGTTCTACACAACAAATCAAAAACATGAGATCCCCACATGCATGTGTGCACACACACAGGTACACACAAAGTCTATTACAATGCTGCACAGCAGTGGGAGGTGGGAGAGCCCCTAAAAGTGACAGACTGGGCTCAAGGCTTAACCTTCCTGCAGACATGTGACTTAGGGAGTCTCCTCCTCATCTACATTTCTCTGTTTGCTCTGCTACATCCACATCAGTGTCTGCCTGTGCCTTCTGCCATTGATTTGGGCTCACAGTAATCCTGTACACCACCGTGTAACAGCCTCATAGTGCTTCCCTGGCTCTAATTATTATGTGAGCGCCAGGTGGTTGTGTGGGTTTTCCCCCCCCTGCATAGCAGCTACTGGATTAGAACTGTTGGCCTTTTAATTAACAGTTGAACACTTAATTATTACATCATTGAGACTTGTGTCTCCCTATAATGTGGTTCCCTCAAACACTCAAAACCAAAAACCAGTTACCTTCAAGTTGACTATAACTCATGGAAATGTGTTTCAGGATAGACCTCTGCATAAGGCTTTCCATGGTTATGACAGTCTCCTCAGGCACCTCTGGGTGGATTCGAACCAGCAACCTTTCCATTACTGCCTGAATATTCAACCATCTGTACCACCCAAAGCCCACTACCATCAAGTGGATTCTAACTCCTAACTACTCTACAGACAGACTAGAACTGCCCCCTAGAGCTCCTGAGACTAAATCTTTACAGAGCATTACCTTTTTCCCATGGAACAGCCGGTGGGTTCAAACTGATGACCTTTCCATTAGCAGCACAACACTTAAGTCACTACACCACAAAGGGCTCCACACATGTGCTACTCAGCCTAAGACCCCATGACTGGCTTTGTTTTTAAAGCAAATCACTGCTTTCTCCCAGTGGCAATTCATCAAATCTCCAAACCCCCATACAGAATAAGCACAGAAAAATTGTTCAATCTCTCCCCACCTTCTAGCATCCTAGGAATGAATGCATTTGGAAGAATATCAATATATCCCCAGTATTCTAAGCTCAAGCCTCCAAATCTCAGAGCAACAGCGGTGCTAAACAGTTAACTGGGCCCCCACAGGAAGGCCGACCACCGCCAGACAAGCTCAGAATTGCTTTTCTTATCTCATTCAGAATCCAGAGCCCTCCAGGACTGGGGTCCCAGAGCTGACTTCAAAGCTTTCATCAGCACATAGCGATCTTTTCAAGACAAAACCATGACAACAGCCTTTAAAAATCTGTGATCATCTGCATGTCAAGTGCGTCTGGCTGAGAAATCTTTGTACACTTAAAATAAAAACAATGCTGTCTGAGGGCTTTACATACAGGCCAACCCTAGGCCTTGGGAGAACTCCAGGGGCTGGTAGCTCCTATCTCCTCCTCCCCACCACCCTAGCCTGAGGACACCCCTCAAAGTTGTGAAGACACCAGTCACTGACTACTAAAGAACCTGGGGGGCTTTTGTGGCCTGTATTTTAAGGCTGCTAGCCACAGTAGGCACAGCTCCCAGTAGTCTGTCCAGGCGAAGGTCAAGGGACAAGCAGAGCCAGTATTTCCCAGCAGGCGCGGCTCCTAGCATTGGAGGAACAAGGCTTTGCTTTGAAAGATGGTTCCTCAGATTCCAGACCAATGACACCATTGTCACAACAATTGGCCTGTATTACAAACCTCCTGGGGTGGGGGAGTAGTCCCCCAGCTGAGATCCAGTGCAACTCAGAGCCACATCCTTGCTAAATGCCACCAATACAGTGGACTTGGTTTCTCCACCTGGATAGCACTGACATGTGTTGTCAGGGGCCTCAGAGTCAACAAAAGACTAAAATCCTGCTCAATCCTGTACCATCCTCATCATCTCCAGATACTTAAACCCACAGCTGGAGTCATGGCACCAGTCCTCGTTGAGGGTCCTTCTCGTTCACTGACCCTCCCTGTTTTCAAGCATGCTGCCTTTCCCCAGGGATTGTCCCCTCCGTGTAGGAAAGCTAAACTACGTGAGACAAAGTCTCACCATCCCTGCTTCTAAGACACACTCAGCTGTACTTCAGCTGGGGTCAGGCAATTCCTTGTTGCAGGGGGGCTGTCTTGTGCACTTGAGTTTCCAAACGATTCCAACCTGACTCATTAGCGACCATATGGGGACAAGGGAGAAACACCCTCTGGGTTTCTGGTTTATGCAAGCAAACTGCCTGATGATCTTTCTCCTCCACAGCTGCTGCTGGATCCAAACCGTTGACTTTTTGGTTAGTGGTTTAATACCATGACCGCTACACCACTAGGGCAATAGCCACACAACTAGAATATTTCTCCATTTAGTGAATTGACCTTCAGTCACCTCCATTGAGAAGTACTGCTGTGTATCACAGATTAGGGACCACACGTACCACTGCTCTCTCCTTCATTACCAACAGTCCCTTCCTCAGCATTGTAGATCTTCACCAAGCACCTCAAACACTTCTTTGTGGAAGGGTATAAAAGTGCATATGCATTCATATATAAATACATACAAAGAAATGCCCATTGTCCATATTGTTAGGGAGTCTGGACTAACTGCACTGAATAAATCATCAATCAGGGAGACCTGGGAGAGTTTTACTCCAATTCTTGCTCATTTGTTGACTTTCCCTCCCCAAAATTAGCTGAGAAGAAGGAATGGGGAACGAAATCTAAGAGTCAGGGGTCGTATAAGGCACGAATTTACTTAGATTCAGCTAGTCTGTATTGCAAATCCAAATCTACATAGAGCAAAGCGTTCACTCACTTGGCAAATGTTTACTGAACATCTGTTCCGCGTCAAGCATTACGAATACAACCATGTATTAAAAACAAAAATCAAGCAAACAAAAAAAGAAAGAAAATACCCCTGTCTTTCACTCCAGGAACTCATTGGCCCAAAGTGTCTCTGCTCAATTACTTGGCTACTGGTACTCACATGTCTAGCACATAGTAGGAGCTCAATAAATATTCTGCCAAAAGAATGCTAACGATTTCCATTGCTTTTATAAATGTGGGGGACATCCTTCAGCACAATACTCATGAGGTGTGCACCGAATCTGTAGGAGGGGCTGCGGTGGTTGGTGCGAGGGCTGACAGACGGCTGTGAGGAGGGGTGTGGGGAGCGACAGCCCAGGCCCTCTCCCAGCATGGGCAGACAGCACAGTCGAGCCAGACCAACCGAAGGCCACTTGATGGGCCTCTGGCTGCTGTCCCCTCCCACAGCCAGGAAGACAGAGGGTACAGACTCTGCCCCTTCCCCGCCTTCTCGCTCAAGTCAGCAACTATAACTCCCACAATCCCTTCTGGGGTCTTGAGGAGGATAAATGGGTTGTTACCTACTTCCTTTAGTGCATAGGTCAAAGGTTAAGGTCTTGGTAGCTAAAGGAAAAATAAAAGGCAATGGCCTTCCTCTTCCTCACACCCTTTAGTAAAGAGAATGTGAGAGGTCATGACCACACATTTCCTGGTCTGAAGCCCAGCATCCTCTAGTTATGAAGAAAGGGCTCTGTCAAGAGTTGGCATTGCCCTACCTAGTTCAAAGGCTCAGCAGCCAGGCACCAGGTGATCACAGTGCGGGTGTTCAGAACTCTCAACTTCCCCCTTCCAATACCACAAAGATCAGCCACGGATGGTCAGAACTCTTCCATGAGTATGGAACCTCCTGGAAGCCAGGACCATCAGGTAGTCTCTTAGGGAATCCAAATACAATGAAGAGAGCTCTGCCTTGGGAAACTTGTGAGACAAGATTCTATGGGATTCGGGGTTGGGCAGGGATGAGGGAGAGTAGTTTTTTACTTGGAGCACTTTTATCAGAAATCATCCTGAGATTTTCTTCTGGGTAAGGTCGGTTAATGCAAACCTATCCCTCCCGGTTATAATTTTAGCATCTCTTGCTGCTCAGCTGGATTTTCCTCTTAAACTCAAAAAACTCATGCCTGAGTCCATTTGGACTCCTAACATCCCTCCATCAGGCTGTAAATCTAACAAGAGGAGGAGACTGCCCATCTGTCTCCCTCAAACCACTGGTGAACTCCAACTGCCTGAGATGCAACATGTTTGGTTAGCAGTTCAACTCGAGATCACGCCTTTCCCATCTCTACAACACTGAGAGCAGGTTCCGTACACACAAGTGCATCTCAAAAGGAACAGGGAACCGTAACAGTATTTTCTTAAAATGTAAGAAGTTTTGATGGCTTTACGTAGGGGAGGGGAAAACTCCTGTAAACCCACTCTTTGACAGCAATAATTAATAACAAGGGTTGTTAAGATTCACTAACCTGTTACAGGATTGCATTTGTGTGTGAAATGACAACACTACATGAGAGACATTTACCAAAACTCCCACTTTTCAGATGAGGAAACTGGTGGCCAGCAAAAATTACTACACAGTGGCCTATGTTTTCCTACAAACAAGCCAAATTTTGACACTGCTGAAAAAGCTTCAGAGAAGTATTTTTAAAAGAAAACTGTCAGAGTTAATAATTGACAGTATTTTAGATTAGGATAGCTATTAACACAGCATTTGCGCCAACTCAAACAGCTCTAAATAACAGTTCCAAAAAGGGGAGGGGAGAGAATCAAGACAAGTGATTTCAACAACCGTAACAGGTCAACAAATCACACGCTGGACTCAGATCATACGCTGGACAATTCCTTTAGACCATGCGGCACAATCTGTTATCAATACAGCAGCCGTGGTCCAGGGCACCAACTCCATCCTTCCTGCCATCTTGGTCCTTTAAAGCT